TTTACATTGCTGGAAATTCACTGTCAGTGATGACTAACCTTAAGTGAACACATAAGTGCGAAATCGTTTANAGTTATAAAAAATTATATTGTGGGCATGGGGGTTAACGCATAATATCCCGGAATACATTTTGTCTAGGTTAATAGCCCTCCACAGCCGGGTTACATATACAATGCGACAATATGGCATTATAATTAAAATAAACATAACAGAAGTTAATAAAATGAAATACAATACTCATATAAACCGACATTTACATCGCTATATTATGTCAATCGAAAACGGAGTTAGACAGATGAAAATCGAGACAAGATATAGAAGGCTTAGTGGCCGGAGGTCCCAATTAACTATATATTAATTTCTAGTCTGAGTCGGTTTTTTTAAATTAAAAAATTATTAATTCTTTATTGCTATTATTTTCCACTTAGTATTCATAGATGGCGACACTACATGTGAGCATTGTGTTTAAATGGTATTATATTTCTGAGTGGCTGATGAGATGTGGCGCATTGACTTACCAAATATTGCCTAAGCCATTTTTTTTTATTTTATTAATTTGATAAATCATTAGTAAGATCTTTGTAAGTTATCAAATTAATAAAGTAATTTATTTCTTTACACACATTTAATTAGGATGCAAGTTATTGTTATCAGACTCAATCCTCATGTGACATATGAATCATCATATCAAAGGTCAAACCAATCATATCAGACGTCACGTCAAACACCATATCAGTTAGAGATGTGGAGATATGAAAACTCATGTAGTAATCCTCAAGAATACTGGTAATAATGTACATTTGTTGAANAAACTGCCTTCTAAAACGTATTATAATTCGTACTTTACTATTAAAATGTACTTGAAAATTAATAAATAGTATTTTAAACAAAAAAGGCATTTATTGGCTAAGTGTGAATAAAAATTAGATATAATTTAGGATGAAAAGAATTGTTCTGATTCTGAATCTTTGTAGGATATACTATACAATATTGCATGTATCTGACTGAACTCATGAGGAGTATGAATAAAAAGCTCTCAGTCTCCACAGGGCAGTGTTAATATATATATATACACGATATATATAGCAGGTACAGACAAAACACTCAAATAAAATGTATAATATCCTCTTGTTGCAAAACACATAATAAATCACATCATTTCCTGCTTAAAATTACGCTATCAACGAGTTCTTTGTATAACATCAACCACTTCCAATGCAGGTTATTTCTAGATTAGTGTGGATTTAACAAGATCTAAGACTGCACCATACGTTCTTGTAATGTCTCAAACATCTTCCTTCAATCGGATTTATGTCTGGAGATCTTGTTTGCTATTCCCTGTAATATCCTGCATTTCTAATATCGATCACCGACCGCAAAGATCTTTTGTAAATGTATAAGTTATTGTTATAATCCATTGATAGTAAAACAAAAACTGAAGTTCCAGGCTTTCGTCTCTACGGTTCTCTCAAGAATGACAGATTTAGAAGAACGAATAAAGAGACCTCTATGATCATTGAATATTAATTGTACCTTTCCACATTATCACCCATCTTTTTCCATGCTTTTGTCTCTCAGTGACCTGTCAGAAGAAAATCTAGTTTCCATTTTCCTGAAAAACACTTAATTTTTGAATCTGTTTGAAAACTAGATCCGGTTTCATCTCGAAAAACATTGGACCATTGTGTTGGATTTCATCTCGATATAATCAATATGAATTTAGGCAGACTTTTATTAGGGCACAGAACAGATCATCATGCTTAGACTCTCACGTAAATATGTAAACATTTTTATAATAAACTGCAGATATTAAATTTTTTATCACCATTAGTGCCCACTTTTACTTCTACACTAACGACCAAGATGAGCTATGAGCAGTGCCGTAACTAGCCTTTTATGTGCCCGGTGCGAGCTTCTGTAACTACGCCCCAAAACTATAACCCAAAACTTGGTTCAGATCATTTCTGTTCTCCCAGGGTCTGCGCCCTGTGCCTGGGCATCGCTAGCACCGCCCTAGTTACGGCACTGGCTACGAGAGCTATAAATGACAGAATCTGATTCAAGAGGAAGTCGAAGTCGTTCCCCATAAAAGTGAGGACCTTAAATACAAACTGAAGAACTAAGATTTTTGATTTTCAAAAAATCCAGCAACTAGTTGCGTAACTTTTCCGATTGTTATTAGATTTTAGTTTAAAAGTAACTTTTTGTTAAATTATAATAAGTAAATTAAACTGTGTGAAGAGACGAGTTTTATATTTTTAAAAACTTGTAAATGCTAATAACGAGTAAAATCTTCATTACGCCCGATTCTTCTCGAGATATGATCCGCATCTCTCTACCCCCTTAAAATTTATCAAACGAAATTTGTCTAGTTAACTTGTGTATAAGGAGCATTGGTGCTATTATATTTCAGTGGTTAAAGGTCGAAGGAGTGAGAAGATAAAGGAATGTCATGTGCCATATCTTGAGAGTGGTCGGACTTAATAGCGATTTATCCGTTATTAGCATTTACAATTTTCTAAATGAAACTCACTACTACCCTTAAAATTAAGCCTTTTACCATTTTATAATAATTAATTAGCGTTACACGCAATTTTTTTCAATTAAAAATATACTGTAAAAGTAGAGCTGTGGAGTCGCATAAAAATCTATCGACTCCGACTCCGACTCCGACCAGGGGCGGACTTGTTACCGAAAGAGACAAGGAAATTCTGATGTCATCACGTGATCTCAGAATAAAAGATTCAATAAATAGAGTTCTAATAAAGATAGAACGTAGAAACTTTTTATTCCAACGCTAAAAGACTTCTCTAAGTAATATACAGTTTAAATATGTATTCGATAACTTACTTTTCTGACTGTTATATATAACAGCCTAAGGTGTAGCGATCGGTCAAAAAATTATCCTTCCCAATTTTTACATTTTTGGACTCAGGACACCTTGAAATTTTGAGATATGCAAAAGATTCGAGGTTTTTTCTATATGTGTGGATGTTAGACTGTGTGTGCGGGGCATGATTTCGTTCACTCTGAAGCCTAATAATTCCTGTGGTCAGAGTGGTTGGAATCGGAGTCAGATGGTTTAACACAGGAGTTAATTATTAAGCGTCAAAGTGGTTGAACTAAATCGTTTCCCCATATACGTTCTAACATTTTAGGCGAGAACATCTTAACGGGTTATACTGTACTATTATAAAATGACAAAAAAGTTTACTTTGAGGGTAGAGACAAATTTTATTTATTTTTTTTAATTTTGTACGCTAATAACGAGTAAAATATTCATTAAGAGATATGACACATGACCACTTTTATGTCACTTTTATGAAATTTGGTTAATTAAGAATTTTGGTTCTTAATTAACCTTTAATTAAGAACCAAAATTTAATAGTATTAATGCCCCTTTATACGCAAGCCACAGTGCCACATTTCGTTTCTTAAACTTTACCCATTAAACAGAAAATAAAGAAGTTAAACAAATTAGACCAACACATACACGCACGCGAATTTTTCCTCTGAATTTTTATTGACTTTTTGAAAGGTTCGAGAGGTCTCCAAACGTGTAGATTTGCAAAAAATCCTGGAGGGTCAAATTTGACACGATTCCAATACTTTTCCGTTTTATGTACATAAGAAGTTGAGAAGTAAAAAGGAGTCGGAGTAGGCGGATTTTTTGACGACTCCGACTCCGACTCCACAGCCGGGAAAGTTACGCAACTCGTTGCTGGATTTTACTGATTGCAATATGATAAATAATTGATAATCATAATACACAATTAAACTCCTCTTTCATTGCAGATACCTAAGCGGTTAAATAAAGGGTTAAATAAAAAAAAATGTCTTGTTATTTACTTTTAAAATTTTTAATAGCCTAGCTCGTTTGCCTTTACACAACACAAATAGCACGCCACTTGACTGAATAGAAAATGGCGGACGTGTATTCAATTTTCTTTATACATGGCTTCGTACAGCCACTCTATATAGCATATTCTAGCTCGCCCACACCCATAATGGACTCGAGTTCATGAATGGGAACGACCGTGTGATAAGGAATGGAGTCCGATATATCAGAGACAGACTGCTCATGAAAAATTCCTGAAAAGTTGATTAGTCCAGCATCAAAACATTGTTGGGTTAGTCAATTCCCCATTTCCAAGGATCGAACTACATACTTTTTAAATTTTTTTCCGCCATATGGTCACTAAGAGGTCCTTTAAACGGACCACCCCCGAAAACTTTCTAGGATGCGTTTGAATTCGATCCTAGGTCCCAAGTGTAGTAGGTTGCCATCTTAGCCGCTCAGTCACCCGGCTGTCAAACGAACTAAATATTAATTCGATCCATAGAATCTGAAGATGAACTTAGAACCGAAAACGTTTATTACAATATAAAGTATTAATCCTGAGTTAGTTAACTGCTCAAACGTTGTTGTTGTTGTTGTTAAGTTCCATCGAGTCGTCGTCGACTCCTGGTGACTTCATGGACAAGTCTTCTCCATCTTGATCTTTCCCTTGTTGTCTCTCGTAGCTCATCCAGCTTCATTTCTGTGACTTTTTCTATTTCTTCTATCCATCTTATCCGTTGCCTTCCCCTCTTCCTTCTACCTTCCACTTTTCCCAGCATAATAGTCTTCTCTAGGGAAACTTCTTTACGCATCAATCTTTACGCTCAAACGTTGCCTCTTTGTAATTTAAAATCTTTATATTAAAGTATTTTTAAATCAATTTAATAATCAAATTCGATAATTCTTCACACATAAAATTTATTTATTCAATAGCAGCAACATTAAAAATTGTGTAGCGTTCTATGACCCAGAACATACCCAGCGCCACTCTCGTCACATTTCATGTTATTTTGTTCGAATGAAAATTTAATAAAGCGTTTAATATATTTTATTTTATCATAATTATCTCATTCTCGAAAAAATATGTTTAATAACAATTGAAATTTTGTCCGAATTTTATTGATAAAAAATGTATTTTAAAAACTGCAGACTTTTTCATGGACGATCCGCTATTATCCTCAACCTATGACGTAATGAGGGGGGAGGGGAGTTAATAAGATTAATTTCGAATATTAAAGAAATAAAATGAATTATATATTAAAAAGAAGATTTTGTACATAAAAGAATGGGAGAAATAATAAAAAAACGAAAATTTAAAAGTTAAATGCAATAAAATGAAACGACGATGTTAGGCTTAGGTATACCACGTTTTAACAAACGCTAGGCTTAAGTCAATATGGCGAAGGTGTAGTCGGACGTCGTACGATGGCGTAAGTTAACAATTTGTTTTATCAAACTACCATTAAACAAATCTTCCTTAAACAATCTAACTTAATTTTTATTCCATAATACTATATATATTTAATTTAACTTAATTAGATGGATTTATATGCTAAGCCTAATTTTAGGTTTAAGTAAAGCGATATTACGTTCGCCATTTTCTTTCGGAGAAAGAAAGAAAGAATGTAGACGCCATGTTGAAATACTGATCGTTCAATAAATTATTCTTGTAATTGTTAAATCGTAGCATTACTGGATAGTTGTATATTCTTTATACTAAATATTTAGCGTGTTTCCGTTAAGCCTAATTATCAGCTATGTTATTTAGGCTTAATTTTAACCCTAACTATGTTTATCTAGCAAAATGGCTGGCCTAAATATTCAGCATTTTTCAATCGCAGTTTATAAATATTCAAATATTTTTCTAAAATAAATTTGTTTATTTTATCATAAATCGTATGTTACATACTACAAAATACAACACAGTTTTCTTAGATTATGTATTATTATTTACATTAAAGTAAACAAGGGAAAATTAAAGATTATTTTCTTTGTTCTTTCTTCGATGAATGAGAAAATTATATTTACTAGAATGTTATGCATCAACGTTTTATATCAAATATCAACTATTTTAATACATTATTAGTTTGACTTGATTTATATCTGGAAACCTTTAATTAACAATTTGATTGATTAATTTATGACATTTTAATGGTATTTAAAAACAGTAAACTGTTGGAAAAATGAAATTAAACTTGACATATCTAAAAACTATTTTAAAAATTGCACAATTATTATTTATCAATGTACAGTACATTACAATATCAACCAATACATAGAATTTAAACAATAGAATGCAGGTTTTCTTATAGACAATATACTACTATATTGATTGTGGATATATATATACTGTAATAATAATAAACAAATCTTCCTTAAACAATCTAACTTAATTTTTATTCTATAATACTATACATGGTTTACTGTGAAGAAAATAAATCTTAAACTCATGATGTACGTTTTGAATTTAAAACTTAATAATTCTTCATCTAATGTTGTTTTTTTTATATCATATATTTTATTTATTGATGATAAAACAAGTAAAAACTGTAAAAAAATAATATGAAAAAATATTTTAGTAAATTATTTAATAACTGACATCAAAGAAATTTGATCAATTTATTGTATAAAATGATTAAAGTAAATTTTCTAATTAGCATACCACTTTTTCTTGTTATTGATTTTTATTTTAAGTACAAATATTAACCATTCTAAAATATAATGCGTCTTTATTATTACTTTATTAAAGGCACATGTTTTTAATGTTTAATATTTCTTTTAATAAATTAATCTTTCATTTTCAAAAAAAATAAAAAGAAAGATAAACTTTAGTGATTAAAAATTAAAATAGACAAGAAAGTTAACTTTCTAGAAGGCTGAACAAATTGTAATAAATATGCAATTTGTTAAAATACAAAATTAAATTTTAATTAATGTAAGTCAATCATCCATGTTAATAAAAATTGGATTTTTGATGGTTAAAAACCTTCGAAAATGTTACAATTGAAATATTTTTTTTAAAGATGACAAGTTTAATTATTGGAATTTTAACAACAAAACTAAAAAAATATTTGGCTGCTTCTGCTTTTTATATTGTAATCATTATTATAAAGTATATTAAATATGAAAAATTGATGAATGATACATTTTTAAATTATTAAAAACTATAATATAAATAAATATTTAAAATATTTCTGAATCTTTTATCAAGTATACATTTTAAATGTCTGGCGGTTTTTTTCTTTTGGAGTTACATTCTTTGAATAGTAGCCAGCAAGAATTTTTGGTACCAAATTTTCTACCGAATAATAAGCTCAGGCGATTCCAAATAACAGTTAAGTTCGAGTGAAGTCCTTCTATTAATTTTTTTTTTTTTTTTTAATAGAATATACAATTTAATTAAACAGTGGTACAATTCTGATGAAATGAGGGACATTAGCCATACTATATTTGTTATGTGGCTTTTTTCTATTAGTTAATTTATAAACTTTACATTAAAGGATATATTATTTTTAAGTAATCTATGTTATGAAATTTTGTTTCACTTGGTCAAATTTGACTAAAGGTTAATAACAGAAAACTAAAAATAATGGAGTAACCAAATCTAGATTTTATTTTAATATGTTCATTCTGTTTTATATTTAGGATTTTTTTTTAGACAGTACAGTGTGTGTTATTTAATTTTACATTGAAATAGGAATAATGTTGAATGATGGTATCATTTAAAACTGAATGCAGTTTTGATTCATTCCTTTATAATTCATCAAGTTTTTTTGATGCAAAAAAAAGTGAATTGTGCATTATTGGGATTTAGCTTCTCATTTTGAAATCTATCTTCCCATCAATGGTGATCAGACAGCTAAATCACTTCTGTGTGTTTGAAAGTATGATTTTTAAAAAACATTTCTTCTGTGCATCTTTCAAATGATTAATGAGAAAAACAATGAAAATTTCATTACTTTTTTCCTATATAAAATAATAATGTGATGATTATTAACATTTTCAGTCCACAAGAAATGAGAAAGCTGATATTTATTAAATTTCTAGAGTATTTAATCAAGTTTGTTTATTTCTGATAACAGTCTTAAGACTATTATTAGAAATTCATACAGTTTTATATAATCATCACTTTCTTAATATTAATATGTAAACTGAAAACTCTATTTTTAGTTTATATAGTAAGAACTTTATTAACCTAACTATAGTTTCATGTTTCATGAGGATGAAAAGTGTTAAGAGGAAATAAAACAAATATAACCAATTATAAAAAATGCTTTATTAGATTCAATTAATTGAGAGATTGTTTTTTTACTCTTTGTCCTATTGACACTAAGAGAACTTTTTTATTAAATCCATTGTGGATTCAGCCAAGCCCACAGTAGGACAGCCAGGTAGTAAAAGATGGGGTTTGACACATCTAGAACAGATCACATCCCAAAAAATTCCTTAGGGTGTTTTTAATCTGTTCAGATTTGTACTTGTGTGTCTCAAAGTAGTAGGCTACTCCAAAAGAACTTTGCCTATCAAGAACATTCACACTAATGCAAGGATAAAAATAAAAATACAAAAGTTGGAAAAGGTTTGATATCTGATTTAATTTAAAAATATGATTCCTAATAAGGTATAGTACAATTCATGTGCATAAAATTTATTTTTGATGAATTTGATAATTAATTTTAGTCTATTGTTTTTTTACTATTATAAAAACTATTACTGTTACTTGATTATTGTATAAATATAATTAAGTAAAATCAAAAAAACCTAAATATTATGCTCTTTTAATAATACATTCTGTCAAATTAATACTGGAAATTGTTAAATAAAATACAAAATATTGGTTTTATCCAAATTTATTTTGTCATCTTCAAAATAGACCCCATTTGATGCAAAACACTTACTGCCAATGAATAATCCAGTCATCAAAATACTTCTTATGAGTGCTTTCTGGTATGGCCTGCAGCTCCCTGTGCGAATTTTTTGTTTTTTTTTTTTTCATTTGACTCAAAACGTCTTCCACAAAGTGGTAATTTGAGTTTGGGGAAGAGGAAAAAGTCACACTGGGCCATATCTGGTGAATATGGTGCTTGGTCAATAACATTGTTGAGATTTTGGTTAAAAATTTGTGTGCAAAGGTCGATGTATGAGACAGTATTATTATAATCCAAGTATTGTTCTTCCATAAATCTGGCCTTTGGTGAAAATTCTCTCTCAAACACCTCATAATGCCCAGATAATATTGTTTGTCCCTCTGGAAGAAATTCTGAATGGACAGCATCACGACAGTCAACATTGATTTTTGAGTGACTTTGACATGGATTTTTTTATTTTGGCTCATTCTCAAAGCGCCATTCCAAAGCCTGTTGGCTGGTTTGCATGTCAAACTCATAAACCTGCATCTCGTCACCTGTTATGATGAGTTTCATGAATGTAGTGTACAAATTGGTTTGTTCAAGCATGTCTTCAGCAATCTTTTTTCCAGTGCTCTTTTTGAAGAAAATTCAGCTCCTTCGGAACAAGTTGTGCTGCAACACATCAAATGCCCAAAACATTAACTAAAATAGTGTGAACAGATTTGTGAAACATGTTCAGATTCTGAGCCATCTCTCTCTCAAGCTTGAATGATGATTTTCCATCACAATTTCCTTCACTTTGTTGATGTTTTCATCAGCTGAAGATGTTGAAGATTGACCAGAACAAGGCAAGTCTTCCACCACTTCTTGGCCATCTTTAAATGCTTTGTACTACTTGTATGCATGTGTTTTGGATAAAGCTAACTCACCGTAGGCCTTCTGCAACATTTTCAATAATTCGGCATAAGAAATTTTGTTGGCAACACAAAACTTTAGACAAACTCTTTATTCAATATTTTTGTTCATTTTAAAAATTGCAAAGCACACTTCATATTCAATGATGAAACCAACAGTTGTAAATAAACTGGTTAACAGACGGCATTACAAATTCACATGACAATTAAGTACACTAATGCCAACTTATAACAAACGGTTTGTCCATTTCAAAAGCCTGTGTAAAAGATATGAAAACAATCCCTAGTATTTATTTGACAGAATGTATATATTTGATTTTTTTAAATGTGATTATTAGTGATAAAATTGTATATGGACAGATAAATCCAGCTTTTAGATGTTTGAAATTTAATAGTTTATATATATAAACATGTAGTAGGATACCAAATTTATTTATTTTATTTCTTTTTTTTTCCTATAGAACTTTGCTGAGGAAAATGATTTACTTAATTCTATAATGGGTGACCAATCCATGATTGTTAGTGATCAATCTGAACATCCAAGTTTCATTGCCATGAAGCCACAAAATATGGATGAAGTATTGTTAGAAAGTAATCATATTGGACAAATTTTTCTACAGGATAATATTGCAAATGAAATTATTGTTGAACAAAATGTGGAAGTTGGATCAGATGACGATAATCAACATGGTGATATTATTTTGGTTCCAAATAGCATTATTAAACAAGAGGATATTATAGAAGGTGGTGAGGTAGTTGTTGGATCAACTGTAGGTAATGAAGTGGTTATTGGTGATCATATCAGTTCTCATCTTACAAATGATAGATTTATGATGGGATCTAGTATGGAAATGGATCCAGATCAGATTGACGATACAGGATTTGATGATTCTAGATTGGTGATTGATACTCATTTTAAAATGGAAGAACCAACTACTGTTGGCTTTGACTGTAATGAATGTGGAGCAATTCTGAAAAGTAAAGCAGCTCTCAAGAAACATGTAAAAAGTCATGGGAAACAAAGATCTGGAAAATCAAAGAAGATTGGATCTGAAAAGCAACATGATAATATTTTGATATCCAACAAACCATATTGTTGCCCATCTTGTACTTACTCTTCACAAAGAAGAGATAAATTAGATAAGCACATGCAAAAGCATGTTCTCTTGGAAGGCTATCATCCCTGTGGTAAAAAGCGACACAAACCTGAAGCACCTCTTCGTCGTCACCGACATAATGCTGAAGAATACCGATGCCCATATTGCCCTTACTCGTGTACAGTTTACAAAGCATTGAAAAAACATCAAAAATTACATAACGCAACTAGTAATAAGCAATTCACAATTAAGGTAAGCTGCAAAATCTGTGGAAAGGATCGTGCAACTGAAGCCGATTTACAAAAACACATGAAAAAACACCGCAATGACAAATTCTTTTTATGCGATATATGTGGATTTGCTAGTATACAATTAAAAAAGATTATACAACATCGTAGAATGCACACAGGTGAAAAACCACACTTATGTCCTCACTGTCCCTATAGATCAGCCCGCAGAGATAATCTACGATCACACGTTAGGCGCATGCACAAAAAAGAAAATGTATATATTGATACCTTCAATCCAGGTGACGAGAAAAGCGAGTGATGTTGATTATTGTCAAAAAAAATTTAGTAGTTATCTTTTTATAGCTAAACATAGAAATGCTATAACAGACAATTCTTATTTACCAGAGATTACAGGATTTATTATTAGTATCAATTGAGACTTAAAATACCAAATTTGTCATTATAATATTTTGCTGATCTTACAAAAAATGAAAGGGAAATTATTACTGTGATGTGACATTTTAATAAATTGTACATAAAGAATGTAAGCATGGGTGCATTAAGCAAATTGGTAATTTCCCAACATTATGGTTATTATTATTACATACTTAAACAACTTATGTCGTTTGTTCAACAATGATTCATTAAATATAAGTAACCACAAATTGAAATTAATACTACTTTCCTGCTATTATTGTATGAATCATTAATGGTTGTGGAAAATTAAGAAGAAAAAGTCTTAAGAATTCTGTACTCTTTTAAGGTATTTAAGAAGTAAAAAAGAAAGATCTTGCTCACCTAGTCAGATGTTTTCTATTAAGGTAGAAGTTTGTTTGAAATACATCTGATTCTTAAACTTCCAAATGTGTAAAATGGCACATTGGTGTTTCAATTGTAATTGAATAGTAGTGTGTTGGTCTTATGAATAAATTGATGTTTTATGTAAAATTAATATGAAGTGATATATATATATTTTTTTGAATACAATTAAATCATAAATAAAACAATTCAACTATAATTTCAGATCAAATTCGGTCTTTTCAGAATGGCACATATACATCTAAATACAATAAATTCCTCTAGTTATGAACCCAATATTTGCATTAATAGGTTGAAACTGATTTAATGCTGCAACCTTTCCCCTTTTTTTTTTGTGTGTGATCATACATCATAGTCAGTCATATCATCTGTTAAGTTAATTTATGTAGAAAGTAATGTTTAGTGTCATTAAGCCTCTCCTTTTGTCAATTTTATCCATTGTTTCTGAAGATTTTAGTCATCTTGCTAGTCTTCCTTCTCCTCTTGATAATTTTTATAAAATAATCAATTTGTATACATTTTTTTTCTATGAAAATTTGCATAAATTAATAACAAACTAAATACAAAAATTACTTAGCTCAATAATTTGTGGAAATAACAGTGAACATGTAATTCCTGCAGATATGCAGATATTTACTAAATAGAACATAAAATAATAATTTTGTTTTTCATTTGCTATTTGATTTTAAAAATTTGGAAATTGTCACTTCTGAACTTTTTTTTTAAAGTAAAAACCAACCTTATTTAATAGACTTTGTAATAAATAGTGAAATAGATCAGAATCCTAATTAATGTGCTTTCTCACCACACCGGGTTGTATATATTCCAAACCAACAACTATCTACAATTAACCAGTAACTGGTGTGAAATTCTTTAAAATCGGCAAACGTTTTCGATTCCCCTCCTGGGATCTTCTTCAGTCTTACTTCTTTATAGCTTTCGTTATAACCAGATTCTTTAATTTGAATGTTTTTGAAAAATATGGAATGTGCCATTTTTCGAAAAAACCCGCATCTAAAGGCAATGTACGAAAAAATTGCAAAAATAAAAGGAATTAATATTGCATACAAAAGAAACCCAACCATTTACAGTTTATTAAGGAACGGGAAGGACAATTCAGACCCAAATAGGTTTCCAGGGATATACAGTATTCCATTAAAAGATAACAGATGGGATAGGCCTTTAGTGTATATCGGATCCACCAAGCGTTCATTGGCCACAAGGTTAAAAGAACATAAATCAGACATCGAACATAATAAATGTACGACGGCCCTATCTACGTATGCGACAAACCCAGACATCACACCTTTCTTCGATGAAGCGCGTGTTATTCGCACAACCCAACACCCGGAACAACTAAGAACTTTGGAGGCAGTGGAAATCTTTAAAGCCAATCGCAAATCCGCATGCATTAATTTCAAAGAAGAAATAAATCTCTCTGCAGTATGGCAATTTTTAATTGACGGTAAATCATAATATATTTTATAAGATAAATTTTATAAGGTATTGCACACAACGAATCCCTATTGGTAGAAAATTACATTTGAAATAACGTGGATTCCTTCCGTTTTCGGAAATTTTTTCGAAAAATGGCACGTTCCATATTTTTCAAAAACATTTGAATTAAAGAATCCGGTTATAACGCGAAAGCTATAAAGAAGTAAGCCTGAAGAAGATCCCAGGAGGGGAATTGAAAACATTTGCCGATTTCAGCTGATTTTAAAGAATTTCGCACCGGTTACTGGTTAATTGTAGATAGTTGTTGGTTTGGAATAGATCAGAATCCTTTTGTAATAAGTATAGGATGAAATTTTGGAAATGCCAAGTTTCTTTGTTACATCATAAATATATATTAAATTTTTAATACAAATAATTTAAAAGAATCACTGAAAATGTGAACTAAAATATATATATTAATGCCAATCTTTCTAAGCTGCATCTCATATTTGCACCTGTTTTCTATTTGTTAAAAAAAATCTCTCTTCAAATGAGTTATTCTAACTTAGATGCGACTATTACACTATAATGGTACATTGAAATGAGTTATTTCAAAAATACTTTGTAAATTTAGGAAACTAAATAATGAGAATTGTAAATTTACAAAATTAAATACTGTAATTGTATTTTTCAAAGTTTGGATTAATCGATATTATAATCCAATCCATATTTTGTGAGTTATTTCAAGTTGGAAATGATTTGTTAAAAAATGTAATTAAAATCCCTTGACTGTAAATATATAAAAAGGTTAATATCTCATACATATTTTAATTTTACATGTAAAGAAATAGCCTGATAAGCAAGTTGTTAAGCTAAGTAGGAATTAGTGTGTATCCATAAGTCTTGTAGAGAACTCCAATCTGTACAAATAGGATGAGATCATATATCTTATCTCCACTAGAACTTTTTATTAGATAAGAATAGTCCAATAAACAAATTTCCAGTTCAGTTTTGTTTACTTACACTATTCTAATAAGAGAAAATTCAGGGTTGAGTAACTCATTTATTTATTAGAACTGAGAAATTTGATATTTTCTACAGACTAAAAAGAATAGCATGCTCTCAACTTCAATATATTGCTGCTAAAAACTTTTGGGTTTCAAAAACCACTGTCATTAAGTTTTTAAACCAAAGTATAATCAATTACTTGATTATTATAAGTAACATTTTCAATATATGTAATTGGGGTTCCAATTTGAAAAAATTGTAGACCTATAAATTCTCACTGTCATCCATCTGTCTGCCTTTCCTTAATCTTGAGAACGGTGTTAGATAAATGAAATTCAAGAACAGATATGGAAAGCTTAGGGGCAGGAGGCCCCAATTATATATATGAACTTTTGATGCAAACCAGAAGTCACATTATTTCAATTCAAAAATTTCCATCTGTAAGGAGTTAGATGACAGCACGACTGTTGCTAACAGGAAAAGTATTATGTACAGGTGCAAGACAACTAATTTGAGATGGAGAGCATATATTTTAAATTAAATAAATTGAAAAAAATATGATTAAAAATTGCATGCTGGCATTGTGACAATGTCACAATAAATAATGGCTTGTTATAAAATATTTTTAATAATAAATATCCATATAATATAATTTAGTTTTATAAAGTTAACTGTATGATTATTATAAAATTGACAATTTTTTTTAAAATTTGAATTACAAAAAACAAATATATACAGTGTAAAAAAAATTAGATTATAAGTTTTGAAACTTTGACAAATGATATAAAAAAGGAAAATGTTTTGCTAATAGCTTTTTTTGTCTGTTGCCTAAAGCACTGGAACGATGTATTAATGTTTTGTATGTAGTAGAAGCGTTCAAATACAATCTCTCTACACACCGGTGTTTAAATAAAATAAAATAAAATAAAAAACTCTTCAAACCTTTAACCGGAGTGCTTCTATTTTTAGAATTGCGAACGCTTTTGTCGCCCCTCCTGGGCTCTTCTTCAGGCTATAATGAATGGGCCTTTAATATTCAAATAAACATTCGATATCTATATCGAATATATAACGAAAATGTAATGCAATTCTAAAATTAGAAGCACTCCAGTTAATTAAAGGTTTGAAGAGTTTTTTTATTTTATTCAAATGTTCTACTAATATAGGCCCTACACAAAGGATTGTTTGAACATTTGTAAGCTTTCTCCTACTTCTACACACCTAACTTAAATCTAATTTTCCCAAAAAGTGGAGCTATGGATTGAGATGCTTTTTCTCAATCCATAGCTCATTACATGGTAAAGTATAAACATTAATTTGGCAATGGCAATTTCATGGCAGCTTGTAGAAGTATTAAGCTAGTAAGTATACTTGTGAGAGCAGTTGTCTCAAATTGTGGGGTACTCCATGAATGGAAGCTCCTGCCCGTTAGATCTAAAGAAGCAACCAGTTTCTCTGATATCAATTACTGATGCAAAGATGGAATGGTTAGAGCCTTTTGTCTTTGAGCAGTACAATACCTATCTCCAAAAAAACTGAAAATCAAGTTGTGCACTTGTTATCATAGTATTGATAAATGATACTAATTAGGTATGATGACAATTACACATCTTGATTTTCAATTTTTTAGAGATTGGTGCTGTCACAAAGAAACAGGCTCTTTGTTCAGTCTTTGGGCTTTTCTTCCATTGCTGTTCACTGCTTGTATATTAAATGTGTATCAGCCATCTCTTCTGAGGTATGCCTCTGCAGGCTGATGCTTCTACCTTAATTGCAAACTTTGATCATCTTTATCTACACTACAATGAGATGGAATCCAACATTTTCCCTTCACTTCATGCTCATTTAAATGTGATAGTGCTGCAACAGTAAAAATTAAAGATAAATGCTATTATGATACAAAAATATTTTTTGTTAATCTCCCAAAGTATGTCTAATTTTTTAAAACCCTGTATAAGTACAGTAGAGCATTGACTATCTGACTCTCGATCAACTGTCACATCGGTTAACCGATTGCGTTCTAGTTGGCAAATTCAAATGTTCGCTAGTGATGTGGTGCTACAATATTTGGCTAGTTTAATATTATTTTTGTTAAATTTTTGGTATTTTAGCTGTCAACACTTGCTTGACCATGAAAGGGATGCCAGTATTTAAACGAGGCTTAATTTTCTAATTATGAGTGGTTGTTTGTTTTGTGAGCAATAAAATAATTTTTAACCATACAATAGTGACGATTATTATTTTTTTAAAGAATTTGTTAGGCTTAACATCGATGAAAATTCAATGCGAAGTAGGTTAATAGCAATATACAGTAGAACCTCGAAAACTCAGCCTAATGTGGACCGAAGGGTGGCCGAGTTTGTAAAAATGCCGGGTTATCGGGAATGGGGTTAAAAAAAATAAGTACGAGTGTTTCCTCAGAAAATACTGTACTGTACTTGTATGTATTGTTTACTTGAGAATATAACAGAGAATAAACTGCCCAAATACCCTTAAACAAAGGAAAAGTACGTCCTTTATGAAGGCATAGAGCCTTTACTACATGAAAATGAAAATTAATGAATACACTGTGTACAGTAATTTACCTGATAAGACAGACTTCAGAAAAATACTTTATGAGAGCTTTTATACTTTTATAAAGCTGTCTATAATGAAAATTAATTAACTAAGGATTTTTTTGCCCTGCCAGGGTGTGGTCGAGTTATCCGGAGTGCTGGGTTATCGAGAGCCGAGTTTTCGAGGTTCTACTGTACTAATATACTAATTATATGAGATATACTATACTAATAATGTATTTTTTCATACTTTTCGGTTATCTGTTTTTTCAGTTATCCGACCAACCCCAGTCGAGTCGGATAATTGATGCTCTACTGTAAATGAAACATGATAAAAACTGATCAGTCATAAACTAACATTTAAATGTATTTCATTTCAGTTTATTGTTCAATAATGAACCATCTGTAATTATGACAAAGATTTTTTGACAAACATTTTCAAATTTTACATAATTTTATATACATAAGTTTAAATTCTGGTTGACAGTCTTGTTTTACCATCATTTAATTAATTGGTTTGATTATATTGAAACAAATTTATTTTATTTACATCAGTTAAAATTTTAACATATTCCCAATGATTATTAAAATTGCCTATGCTTATGAGAAAATCTCAAGAATAAAAAGCAATGAAAAAAATGAATGCATTTATTATTATTATTATTATTATTATTATTCAAATATTTAAAGTATAGAATGGAAACAATTACATGATAATAGACAAAATGATTTATTTACAAATAATTCTACACAAATTTCAAGCACAAAAAAAATAATAATAAAATAATTATTGCAATTAGTTTTTAAATTTACAACAGTTTACTGAATCCTAAGCTTATAAAAGTCCATTATTGCAATGCAGGCATTCCATCCTGTGATTAATGAAATGATATACAGTAGAAATGTTACAATCATAGGATATAACAAAATCTGTGTGTTTCTTAGAATAGGTAAGGCTGTTGATATAAAAATACAAATTAGAATGTTTTGCAAATTACATTTAAACTTAATTAATGCATTCTTATTCCACTTAACAAAAGGCAGTATTTACATACATGGATGGATTCATATACAGGATGTTGGAGTAAAATTTGTTTTAAAATAACTAGCAGCTATGCCTGGCACTGACTGAGCCAAAATTAACAACAAGAAACATTATATAGTTTTCATTTTAAAGTTTGATTATTTTAGCCTTTCCTTGTCATGTTTATCATGAAGTATTAAATAAATTATAACAAAATGGAATAAAAAAGACAAGAATTTACTTTGAAGAAGAGCAAAAACTTATTTAATGAAAATAAAAATGAATAATCAGATTTCTAGGCAAACAGATTAATGATTCATGCTCAATACTCTGGAAAATCCAAGTACTAGTTTTGTGCTTGCAAAGAATGCAATACTGAGATGGTACAGAATGGTGAAACTTCTTTGGTTAGGCAGACAGGGATTGGTGTTTTTCAACAGATAATAATCATGACATAAACCACACTTTAAATACTGGATGTATTTAATATTAAAAATTCCAATTAGCAGCTTAATCCAGTAAAGAACAAAAATTTACAGACAAATTAATATTATCAATCTTTTTCAAAGGCTATCATCAAGCTCTAAAGGAATTGAATTTATGTTCAATCTTTAGAACCTGATGATGACCTTTGAAAAAGATTGATAATATTAATTTGTCATTAAATTTTTTCTTTACTAGATAAAGGTATAGTTTGGAGATTTTAAATAGTCATTGACTTCTGCCTGCATGAGAAGATAATTATATTATCTAATATTTAAATGTCTTAAATTATCTAATATATAAAGCAGAAAGTTTGTTAATTATTACATTATATTAATATTTTTATATTATATATTAGATAATTATAGTATGTAATATATAATATAATATAGAAAATAAACACAACAAGCTTTTATTCTGAATATTGCCATAAACTATTGAAGAATTCCTTGATCCATGTTTGCAATAGTCCAAGGATAGCAAACTAGATATGATTTAAGAATTAAACTTTCTCTAGTCAATATCAACAAGAACTGGAGATAATGATAGAGTTACATATTTAAAAAGAATAAAAATAGCAAATGGAAATATGGCAATATAATGTAGCACTATAATGTCTTTAATCTAACCATGACTTTTTTGTTAGCAGGATCTAATAATTTTAATCATTCTATATTATTATTTTTTTGTAAGAATATAATGATGTTATATAGACTTTTTATTTAAAATCCTTTGGTTTTGGTTATTAAATTTATTAATTTGGCTTACAGTAGCATTCTAATGGAACATATAATCACTGCCCCCACTACAACAAACCCCTATAAACCACCAACAAAAAACAAAATTAAATTATAATAGTCTCTGCATTGTGTGTTTTCAATTCCTTTATACTGTGATTATTGAGAATTTCAAGAGATCAAGTTTTAGAAAGTCAAAATTTTCCAAAAAATTCTCACAATTATCATAATGATTTGCATGACTAGCAAATGATTTCTCTTACAAAACAGTCTCATGTCTGATATCCAATAGTATGTTTTTATAGTTCCTGAAATTTATAATATAAAAGCCCCGTTGTGTGTATGTGTGTGTGAATTCCTTATAACTCCTGCAATTTCTGTCAAATCCATCTTTGTTTTATCAACATGGAATTAAAAAAGACTCACTATTTTGTCAAAAAATGTCTAGGGGAAAGCATAAAAGTAAAATTGGTCAGGTAAATTCCAGATCTAAAAGAATAACAACTGAGTCTCCTGAAGGCCATGAAGTCTGACTTGAGCACTGTCGAGTGAGAATGGCTTTGTCAAGGGTCTTAATTTGTATAAATATTAGCAACTCTTCTCGAATTTCTTGAAAACTATTATTCTCAATTCTTCAATCTCTACTTTCTCATAAAAAGTATTCCATCATGCTTGATTGGGAAATTTCTAGTATAATGATAAAAACTAATTTCACAAATTTTCATTAAGAATATTATAGTTCTATTTCAATAGGAAAATGTGTTCATAGTGGTGAAATAGTTACTTTAATTTTGAATATTTATGGTTTTGCAGATATATGCACAATTTAGAGTATTTACAATTTTTTTCTTGTTTGTTGCTATTTCATGACATCTGAACTGGAAAAACTTACTAAAATCGATCTGTAAGCAAATTTAATTGAATCAATTTACAGATTCATCTATTCTGTTTCAAAGTGAACTACTGATATTTCAAAAGTTATCTCAACAATAAAAAATACTAATTAATGTTTAATTAATTAATTAATCCTTATGTATTACAAAGAAAGTGTGGACAACATTGCAAAAATTTTGTTAACATATTAGAAACAATATTTCTTCTTAATTTACATTCATTTATTATTAGAGTTTGTACACAATGTATTTTACATTATATTTACCAATGATTATAATTATAAACATATACAGTATTATATGGTGTTTGCATATCCAAGCCCATTATGTAATAAAAATATAACAAACATGGATGCCATTGATGTTCTTGCTTTATTTTCTCTTGGAAATATTGAAGATTATGTTGTTGCATTAACAATTAAATATGTGATAGATGATAACTAAAAGCAAGATTGCAAAAACAATATGGTCAAACAAACACCAAGCACATTCTTAAGTGGGCAAACATAACAATGATGACGCATTAACATTGATAAAGGAATATGATTGGTTCCACAATTTTATAAAATAAACTTATAATGTGAAACTTTTCTTATGCTTATACTGGTATGTTTTATTTGTTTTGAGGCATTTTATTTCGTTAAGGTCACACTATCAAACCTCACCTGGGCAAATTTCTTGAACTAAAATTCACCTTATGACAATGACTGCTGGTGGCAACCAATTATGTCATTGAACCTGGAAATGACATCTCGGGGAGACTTCCATAGAAAGTTAAAAGAATGATCTCCAGAACTGTCACAAACTCCAAACTGTCACAAAAAAAAAAAAAAAAAAAAAAAGACGCAACGAAAAATGAGTAATTATTTATTGTGACATTGCCACAATGCTGGGCTGCAATTTTTAATTTATTTAATTTAAAATATATGCTCTCCACTTCAAATTAGTAGTGGCTTGCCCCTGTACATCATACTTTCCTTTAACAATAGGGTCATGCCAGTCATTTATTAAGGGGAGAAATTTTGAATTAAAATAACATGACTTTCGGTTTGCATTGGAAGCTTATATATTGTTAATTGGGGGACCTCTTACCCTTGATGTTTCCATATCTGGTTTCATTTATCTAACTCTGTTCTTGAGATTAAAGAAAGACAGACATGGATGGACAAGAGTGGAAATTTATAGGTCTACAATTTTTTCAAATTGCAGCTCAATTATAAAAGATTAAATGTAAGGTCAATGACACAACTTAAAGAAAGATTACTATAATTAAATGAATGTTAGCCACTTAATTATGTAAAATAGTGTTGAGTGGGTGTAATCATGTAATGTCTCCAACCACACTATAAGAATGAGGAGGTGCTAATGATTGAGTGAGGTAAAAGCAAGGCTTTCAAGTTTCATTGATCACAGTTAGGCAAACTTAATTTGTGAGATTTCTTTGTGAATTTTTGAAACATTTCAATTTCATAGTTTTACTTGTCAGTTTTGTGGAGATAATTCTAAAATTGTTATAATTTAATTTTTAAGTTACCAAGTGTTGGGAACTTAAAAATTGGAAAGTTCTTGTATATACAAGAATTTTCCAATTTCTACATCCATTATTTTATTTCTTCATCCATTATTTAGCACAGACCTTGCTCCTCCAGTGATTTTCATCTCTTCTCATGGATGATTTGACTGGGAATACAGAATTTCCATATGAATAAGGAGTTAATGGACGATGTAAATGATTGGCTCAGCTCCTGTGCAACAGAAACTCAGTCCCACTTCAAAGATAATAGCTTCTGAAAATTCTAGCACTCATGTCAAGAAGTAGCCCTGATATGTAACTGTTTTTTCCTAACTACTCACCAGAGATTATTTCTGAATAACTCTTGTAGGTAAGAAATTGTAACAAAATTATATGTTTCACACACATAATTTGAGTTCACCTAGGATTTGTTAAGTGTATGCTTTCAATGCATAACAATCCCCATAACATTCTTTTTTATAATGTGTAGTTAAATGATATTTAATGAGTTTATTTGTTTTAAGTATTTTCACAGGAAAAATTAAATGCAAATTAAATCCTTGCATAAATTATTTGGAATGACCTAACTCTGATCATGCAATCATAAATGAAATAAAGAAGTTATTTACTAAAGTTCAAAAAAGAATGAATGACTTAATCAAAATTATTAAATACTTATTGAATGATATTAATACTTTCTGATACTGTAGAAAAACCATCTTCAAAACTTATTTAGGAAAAAGTATATGAATCCACCCATGTATTTAACATACAAATTTTATGATCATTAAAAATAATTTATTGAAATTATATTTACCACTATAGCCTAAAAATGTGATATAGATGTAGTAACCAAGAGCCAAAAGCCATAAGGAATTTCCAAAAAATCGGTATATAAACGAGTTGTCATAACCAACTAATAAAAATAAAAACAAAAGTAAGTCAAATATATTTGCTAATAAAAATTAAATATTTACATACAACTTTATTTAACAATAAAATATTAATTATCACAAACCATAATACAAAAATAATTGCACCACATGAAGAAGTATGAGCAATGGTAAAAATGCATTTAAGTGAACATCAAACGCATAACCCCATTCAACATCTTGATCCTGACAAGTAGGTTTCCTCAGATAATGATTACTGATAAACCTAAAATAAGAAAGAAATTATCAATATTAAAAAACTTTTGAACTTATAATAATATATGATTAAAATAAAACTAGAATAACTTACCACAGGAATGTTGCAATTAATAAGCCGACACCAATGCAGTCAACAAAAATGACCCACAGTAGAAATATAAAGAATTGAAGAAATCTTAGCTCTAGCACTATTGAAAAACCAATAGATGAGACTGCAACAGATAAAAAATTGTTAACATTAAAGAATTTATCTCAATTAAATCTAATTTTTTTTAACAGCTGCTAAAAATCGAAAACATACCTATTAACCAAAAACTTAATAATACCAAAAAAGCTGGATCATCTCTTGCAAACTGATCTTTTGTTTCTAAAATTAATTCAAACAATTTTTAATGTGACAACAACAATTATATTAAATACAAAAAGTAATTTAAACTATACCTACGTTTCCTATATTGAAAATTTCTGTATCTGAAATATGAATAAAAATAAATATTAGTATTTTTTTCTATTTAGCAATATTACAGATTATACATTAAAAACTTTTTAATGCTCCTGTAAATATGATTAAGTTCTGTAAATTATGTAAAAACAAATTAAATTTTAGAATAATTAACTATAATGATAATTTTGTTTGCATTAGAGATATAGTATTTTGAATAGGATTATTAACAAAATGAAAAAAGAATAGACTAACTAAGATAGAATTTTAAAAATCCAGCAATGAGTTGCTTAACTTTTCTGGCAACATTTGATGGTGCCATCTGTTATGACACTTTATAAAAACCTTTTTATACTTTAACTATTATAAAATGGCAAATATCTTAATTTTCAGGGTAGGGATGAGTTTTATAAAAAGTTGTAAATGCTAATAATGAGTAAAATTGTCATTAAGTCTGAACCTATTGGATGTACAGTACATACAACCCCCTTTATTTCCCTACCTCGACCTTTATGCACCAAAATTTAATAGCATAAATCCCCCTAATAAACAAACCTCCCTGCAAAATTTCAGATATTTTTGACAAAAAACACAGGAGTTATTAAGCTTCAAAAAGGATGAACAAAATTGAGCCCCCTACACACACTAACATGCATACATACAGAAAAAACCCCCCTGAACTTTTTTGCATTTCTTGACATTTCAAGGACCTGAGTCCAAAAATATAAAAATCTGCAGGGTCATTTTTTGACTGACTGCAATACTTTCCCTCTGTTATGTATGACAGCCAGGAAAGTAAAAAGAAAGAAAAATACTTATTAAAGAAGAAACACCATGCAGTCTGAATAATTTAAAGATATCTAGAGTTGATTACATAGGTTTGCATAAATCAACATCCACAAACCCAATGTACATACATAATAAGCCAACAACTACCGGATTATATCACAATTATTTTAAATTAATTACTAAATAATTTGTTACTAGATTTTAGAATTTACTAATTACTTTAAAATAATCTTGATATAATAGCCTGATATAATCAAGTAGTTGTTGGCTTTTTACATAGGTTTGTTTGTGTTCAACACTTACAATGATAATTTTTATACTCTAGATAGTTATAAACAAAAATGTTTACAGAAATGATTTTGATTTGTTTATAATTGGCTATATATATTTTATCTAATATCTCATATAATCATGATGAATACAAAAATAATTATATTAAAATATACAAATATTGTTATTAATTAATATAAATGATAGTGTGAACCGAGTGGGTCGAGCGCCGAGCTTGTCCCCACTTATCAGCTTCTTTGTCAGGGATTGTCTATGTGGTAAATGAGTGGCAGGTTAGCAAGGTTGTGACAAGGTGTCGGCTGTACTCAAGGATGACACGAAATTAAAGATAAGATAAACATATTTAATAAACAAATAATTATACAAAGCGAACACAAAAATGTAAATAGTGACAAAATTTCTAAGTTGTGACAATGACACTCTAACGCAAAAGACCGTCTAAGTACTGGACCTTTATCGGTCCCAATATTCCTTAAGTTAACCTAAATCTAGCCTATAACCAAGAGAGAGAGAGAGAGAGAGAGAGGTTTAAAATATTCTAAGTGATTACCTCTTTTGCCATGGCAATCAAGTTCTGAGAAGTCTTTACTTCGGGAGCGCTGAGCAGGGATCCGAATTGGTTCTGGCCTAGTGTCTTCCCTACGATGCGCCTTGGGGCAATCGCCGCAGGGAAGATCCCTTTTTATACATGTCCTGGAGGGGGAACTATCAGGGAAAGTTCTGATGCAATCCCATCTAAGTTCAATTTGCATCTGGGTGTTGTTTACGTTAATTGTCAGAAATTGAACATTTCTTTAAATTTATTATTTCTTCTATCCGATATTGTTACTCTTTCTACCTGATAAAATTGATAACAGCTGTCAAACCGAATTAATTGCTGGAGGTGACTAAGGTCAGGGTATGTAGTGCAACCTTAGTAATAATTGTTCATTTGGTGGATCATCTGATCGGTTTTATCAATGTTAAAATTGAACAAAATAGGAAGTGTGTGGGTTTGTTCGGTTCAGACTCCCCTTGTTGGTGACCTTTTTGTTACCCTCTATCAAGTAACAAGTTTAGGTTCTTCTTAATTGGCTAGTTATTTGTAGATCCTAACAAAGGTACAAATGAATAATCCCCGGTTGCGAGGGGAGAATCTTATCTGTCGTCCAAAATGTATTTGAAAGTTTAAAAGGTCACTTCTCGAAGTGAGACAGAAAATTGAAGGTTTGAAAGGTCTAATTTCGACCTCCCAGCAAGGGAGGTCGAAATTAGACCTTTCAACCCTTCAATTTTCGGGAGAAAGAAGGGTTCAATTTTCTGGAGGAAGAAGGGAAATAATGTTTAGAAAAAAAATATTGAAGCTTTAAAATTCACAAAAGAGCTTAAATCCTCACAATAGCAATTTTAGCAATTTTATGCTATTTTATAACAACTTCATAAAATTCTATCTTAAAGCCTAGTGAAATGATTTTTAAAGAATTGAAATAAAAATTTCTACATTTTCCTCAAATTCTTACAACAGAACTTCATCTATCATCACCATCATATTTTAACATACAAACTATTATTTTCAACGGTACAACAATTTTTATCAGGCTGTACATTTGTTATATTTTAAAATGTTTTAATTATGTGAATTATATATTTAACAGCTTGATACTTTTGATGATATTTATTTTGAAAATCAGTTAAAATAGATTAAAGAATGTAATGCTACTTACACTTTCTGTGGTGATATGAATAAATATAACATTTGCCATAATGCAAATTCAAAGTCCATGTGACGAAAATAAATGAGACGTCTTAGAAATTTTGATCGTTTTGCTGTAGCACTGTGTTTTTCAGTTCGACTAGGAATTGGAGATGGTAATGGTGAAGAATTGTGAAATGAAAGAGGAGGACTTGGAGGTGGTGACTGTTTGGCATGAATCATTTTTGTGCCAATTGTATCTGAAATATATATGAATAAAGTTTTAAATTTTCATTAATTTTATTTCATGTTTAACATTTATTAAGATATACTTTTTATCATCACTACAGAAAGTATCTATTCATATATGTTAATTCATTTATTTCATTATCTTTTTGCATAAATGATGAATCACTTGGATATATTTTAAGAAATTTTTATTTGAAAATAACTGATAGAAATGATTTAACTATAATGATAGATATTCATAAATTTATTTTATTAAGCCTGAATCTTTTAAATTCATATGTTTCTCTTTGCAATTGTATAATTTACAATTGAAGACATGAATGGATGATGTTATGTATCTCTCTCTCATATACCATCAACAAAAACCTCATAGATTAAATTACACTGTAATGTCCACTGCAATACACTATTAAATATATCTATTTAATATTTACACTGAAAAAATTACTTAATCAAAACATGATCATCAATTTACTTAAAGCTTCGATTTTGTAACATAACATCTTTAACCACTCATATCTTCAATTATAATCTTTTGAAATTTGCTTTAACAATTGTATCACCTTCAAACAAAGTCCTGCTGAAGATTCATATATAAGTTAGTAATCAGGCTAGTTTGATGAGCAAGGCAATTGCCTCAAGACATAAAATTAGTAGTCAAAAATGTTCAAAACAAGAAACAAATAAATAATATTATTAAGCTGAATACAGCATAGTCCTGTAAACATACTCTGAAGTTATTTATAAATAGTGCATATAAGAGTGCTGATGCTTAAAGTGCTCTCTATTGGCTATTTGGAAACACATGTAGCAAAAATTGGTTTTGCTTCAGAATCAAGTTATCATCAAGTCAGCACTGTTACTAATTCATGCAATATTATCTCTTACAAACTCAAGCTGCATAGATAACTTAATGTGTGTCCTTCCTCTAAATCAATTTCTCAAACTGGATCTGAAGAATCTTGGAGTTCCTCTAAGGCAGTATTTTTCAACCATTTTCTCATTGTGGACTGGTAAAATTATGGATACTTTTATGTGGACCAAGTAATTATATGCTTATCTGAGTTACTGTATGTAACAAAGTACATACAGTAACTCTAGATTACTATTCAAATGCCATCCATAATCAACTACACCAACTTCAGTATGGTCAAATACTTTTCTGTGGACCAACAGTTGAAAAACATTGCTCTAAGAAATATTAGAGATTCTGCAAAGAGGAAAATGCTTAACAGTAGAAAAAAATTTATTGAAGGTTCTAAATCTGTACATGTGACAATTTGGCATTTATTATTCTGCCACTGATAGCTTTAAATTGCATGCCAATATGTTAATCTTTTCCATATATATAAGCCAAATACTACTAGATTTAATGGGCTTTAATTTCAGAGTTTTTATTTTTCTATAAAAATCTTCAAGCTTTCTAAGATAGACATGAACTCAAACAGCTTTGATATTATGCTAGATTTCTAAAAAAAAAAAAAAA